GGTGGCTGCTTCTAACTCTATAATGGTGCACCACCGAAGCGACCCAAAGATGAAGTCGGCCATCACCAGTAGTGGCGTCGTGGGGGTGCGAGCTGTTTATGCTCGATAGTTCCGAGAAGAGGGACTTCTGTAAAACCAATAGCTGCTCGCTCTCTTTCTCGGACGGGTTAATCCTGTAAGTCCCGGAGCCCTACGTTCGGTAGAGTCAATTACTCCGTTCTACGATTCGGACGATCCTTCCCCGCTTCTATGGTCTTTTAAAAAGGTTTACCTCTACAAAGAAGTTTGTGAATTGGAGGGGCCCAGATTCTGTCGCATACGGTTGTATTGGTTAGATTAGTTGCCTCGGGGTGGCGACGGCCTCTTCGCTGGCAAAGGAAAGGAACGATGTGCTGTCAGGACCACGCTTCCGCAACCCCGATACCGCGTGTCGCCGGGAAAACCGCCCGTTCTTTCGTACGCTCCGGCCTGTGTCGCTGCGGCTCAGCCGCTCCCTATTGGCCACTCACGAAGATTGGTGTACGTGCAAAGCCCTGTACCGTTTCTCCACGTAGCGAGGTACGTCGTGTTCGGAGGGCCCTTTGCCTTCCACGGCTGCGATACATCACGGGGACTCGCATCCGCCGTGCCGTCCGAGGAAAACAGTTTCTGTCACAAGTCCCTCGGACAAAGGGACACCGCTGTGCCCGCGGCGTCGCCTCACACCAGGCGCGGCTCTCTCTCTGTGTGAGCTCCGCCCGTGCCGGGGTGCCGATTGTTGCCGATTGCCGCCCCGGGTAAGCCGTGCATGCCTAATGCCGAATAACACAAACACGTAGCCACCTCGTCGGCAAGTCGACCCTCAACATTGTCGCTGGAAAAGATAGGGAGAAGCCCCACCTTTAAAAAACACCAGAGTACCGACAACGACCTGTAATTTTTATTGCAAATCACCTGAGGGAATTGCAAAAGAAGAGAGCACACGTGTGAGCGTGTTTGTCGCATGCTGCCGACAGCCGGCGACAGCCCCCTCCTGTAAAAGAGTCTGAAAACCGGGCTCAAAAGGACTAGACAGCGACCGGTAAAAGGAGGCGCGAGTTGGTGGTTTGTACCCCACCTCGTGGTGGAGTGGTGGCTCCCCGGAGGTCAGAGCTGGTCCCGGCTGCCACTTGGAAGGATTCGATTGTCATCGGCTCCACCTCAAGCGTGGTCCTTGCGACCCGTAGCAGGCGGGCGAGGTTGTCGGGAACCCGGAGAGACGTGCAGCACGGGTTGGCTTGCCGCCAAGGCGGGGCAGGCGCCCCTAAATGGCGGCTGTAGTTATAATGACTCTTAATATGGACTCTGGGGCCACGCGGCACCACTCTTTCAGCCTTGGCCTTTGCTTTGGAGGCGGCGTAGAACGTCCTTTTGGGGCAACTCGGGCTCCTTCTGGGTTCCTTGACTTACGAACCATCCTTAAAAGGGGACCCTGGAGTCCCACTGGCATTTGGTAGAGGGGCACCTGTGGACGGTCTAGGAGGAATCCGCGCCAGGAGTCCGGGTTGTAGTGGAGTCCGTGAACGCTGGTCAATGGCCAGGCATTCCGGTACGGACTGCGGCGGAAGTACTCGCTACCTTACGGCGAGCGTCTCGGAAATCGGGGACCCCCATTCGCATCAGGACAGTCAAACTGGGGTACTCGTGGTGCGTGGTGGCTCCCGGAGGTCAGATGCGGTCCCGGGCTTCAACTTGGGGAAGATCGATTGTTCATCGCTCCGCTTTCAAGCGTGGTACCTTGCGGACCGTAGCGGGCGGTGAGTTGTCGGGAACCGAGGGAGGAGACGGTGCAGCAGCCGGTTTCGGCTTGCGCAAGGCGGGCACGGCCCCAATGGGCGGCTGAGTGCTACGGTGATTGTGGACCTTGCTGCTGTTGCTTCCAGAAAGAGGTTCCACCTGGGGAACAACGCACTATGTGGTTCACGTACGTGGGGGACCTTAAGTTTTACTGTCATTTTGCGGAAACTTGAGAAACTCAAGGACGCTACGAAAACCCGGAGTTCTTGACGGGACGGGTCCTGCAAGGTGCGTCGGACGTACCTAAACCACGACCCGGACGGCAAGCGCAAGGCACATGGAGGACCTGCATGTAGGAGCAGCGTATCGCAAAGTCCTCCTCGTGTGACAGAGTGGAGGCCGGACAAGTGCCCGAGTCGCTTGTCCTAAAACTAGGTAGTTGGGACTCACGTTAGACACAGGCCTGTAATTGAAGGAGCCCGTGGGCGCAGGTGGTTCCTGCCACGTTGGTAGGACGCCGCTTCCCCTCCGACAACGGCCGAAAGGGAGCGTGGCGATGCCGGCGGCAGTGACGCACTCAAGACCCTACCGGCGGGGTTTTTTCAGAAATAACCGACACGCGTGAAGGCAAGACAACCTTCCGGCACCTCAAAGGTTCCGCAAAATCTGGTGTTTGGCGAGGGAGCGGTACAGTTTCCACGGCTCGAACCAGCCGTGCAGGGTCGTTCGCCGTCGAGAGGATGTAAAGCCTCATGGTTTCTGTAATTGTGCACGACCGTTCAGTTGAACCAACGGCTAACGGAGAGGGTCCCCAGCAGTAGTTCTGGCAGGTTGCGACCGGACCTATTACGAGCATACCGCCGCCTTGTCCAGTGGGTGAGGCCGGAGGTCTCAGACTTCTGTCTCTTTCGGCTTACGAACGCGGACCTCCTGCACCACAGCCGCTGCGTCCGTAGTGGGAAGACCGGCTGCAGAGGATACAGGACAGTGCCTGCAGCAGGGGCGGTTGACCCGCAGACAAAAGTCCGCCACGTTCGAACAGGTTAGGCCGCATTTGAGCCACCGCGACCACGGGAGCTTCAACAAAACCTCACCCAACTTTTTCTTGAACCCGACCCCCCACGCACCGACAGTTGCGCGATTTCCACGTGGGCGGTGTGCTTCCGGATAAACTCGGCAGGATCAAGGTCTCTAACTCAAACTAGGACATGTAGCTGACCATCCAGGCAACGTGAGGAGAGGTCCCAAAAAGGGGATGGAGGAGTGGTACCACCTTACTGCTGGGCAACGGCCTCCGCCAAGAGACACAGCTGAGAGTTCGCGCACTGCACGATTCCCGAAAATAAGCGCTTGCACCCACACAGCAACGTGGGGCAGTCTGTAAAGGGGAGCTGTCCCCGAGTGTCAAGCCGAAGTCCCGAGGCCCGGGAGACAACGTTCTGTCAAACCCCAGGTTTGACGGTGTCTGATGGCGAATGGTGTGGGGGTCCGACTTGCCGGAGACGCTCGCGAAGGTAGCGAAGGTACTTCCGCCGCGGAGTTTCCGGACCGGAATGCCTGCCCGTTGACCCAGCTAGTTCGCGGGACCCACTACACCCGGCTCTGGCGCGGATTTCTCCTTAGACGCACCGAGGGTGCCGCTCTACCAAATGCCGTTGGGACTCTAAGGGTCCCCTTGAAGGATTGGGTTCCGTAGTCAGGAACAGAGGGATGCCGGAGTTGGCCAAAAGGACGTTCTACGCCGGCTCAAATAGCAAGCCAAGGCTGAAGCGTCGTGCCGCGCGCCCAGAGGTCCTTATTAGAGTCTTATTAACTCAGCACCATTGGGCGTGCTCGGGCTTTGGCGGCAAGCCGACCGGTTGCTGCGTCTCTCTCCGGGTTCCCCGACAAACCTCGCCGCCTGGGCTACGGGTCCGCAAGGTTACCAACGCTTTCAGGCGGAGGCGATGACATCGATCTTCCCCAAGTTGGCAGGCCCGGGACGCACTGACCTCCGGGGGAGCACCACGCCCACGAGTGCGGGTACAAACACACTTTTGCGCCTCTTTCACCCGTCGCTGTCTAGCTTGGGCGTTTTCAGACTCTTTTACAGGAGGGGGCCTGTCGCTGGGCTGTCGTGCAGCTGCGAACGGCGGCCAACGTGTGCTTCTCTTCTTTTGCATTCCTAGGACAGTGGTTGTGGTACTCGTTTTCGTTTAGGCCGGGTTCTTTCTTCTTTCTTACAGGCGACAATGGTTTAGGTCGACTTTGGTCGACAGGGTGGCTTAACGGGTGTTTGCGTATTGGATTTAGGCATGCGGATGGCGAGCCGGCCCGTGCAAAGTAGACGGTGCTTGCGGCGTGTCCCCGGGATGGTCGGGGGAATGTACCGGGAGCCAACACCTCCGTCCTGTTCGTGACCACCGGCTGTACCCACCCGTTTCCGCTCTGGCAGGAGCATCTAGGTCAATTCCGACGAGTTAAACTGAACTCGTGGCACCACAACCGGGGCAGGTGGTGCTGCCCAGCGGGGGGGCGAAGCTAGGGATTGTCCAACTCAGGACACCAGGGGCAAGGTGAAACGGCCCTGGCGTGCAAAGTCTCCAACAAACGGAGGGGTATGAAGTCCCATCTCCCCCAGCGCACACAAGGACGGGGCGCGTGTCGAACAAATAAGACCTTAAGACCCCGAACACACCACGAGATAATTGGGTATTTAAGGGAACCCAGTGTAAAGGATGTTCCTGGACCACAAAATCGCATTGTTGGGGGCCTCTAACATCCAACGGTCGATCTCGATCGTTGCCTGAGATTGACTAGGGAGGGAGTGACTCATGTACAGGACTATGATGCTAACGAACTACCTTTTATTTCTCACCTTAGGGAAGATTTATGAGGCGGAGGCTGAGGAAGAATGCCGTTTGATTTGATCAAAATGGAAAACTATGTCTGCAATTCGGCCGGTCCAATATACGGGAAAAATACTCGGAAAAACATTATACATAGTTTAACAGTGATCAATAAATTTGTTTGGTGATAGACTTCTTATATTTCGTTGGTATTTGGCGGGAACGTCTCTCGGTTAATTCGGGTTCCTTCTTACATAGGAAGGGTTTTAGAAAAGTTAGACGACATAATTATTTCAACGGGTCACAAAGGTTAGTTTCAATTCCATGTAGACACGTGCTGTTTAATTGTTATTAAGAAATAAACGTCGTAAATTTTTTTTTTTCACAAGTCTTCTGACGTAGGTAATATACGGATATTTTAGATATAAATATTATATATTTTTAGTTATAAACATAATTGATTGGTTGTCCGGTTTATTTATCGCCCGTGTTTACCCATTACGGTACCTACACCACAAATATTCCATGCAAGTTAACTTGATAAATCCGTTCTTTTGCAATACTGGATTTGAAAAAATTATTTAAATGATATTATCTTCCAAAACACTCTTTAAAGTTTCATTAAAAAATTAAATATAAATTTTTAAAATTTAAATAAAAACACAAAGACTCGACCCCTCTATAGGTCATAGTTGTTACATTTTACAATATTATGTTCATTCGTATTGTCCCTTTCTTACTTTTTTATGCCAAAGGTATATCCCTACACCTAAATTAAAAGGAGTGGACATTAATGTGTTAGTTTGTAGTATATGTAAAATCGAGACCCGGAATGAGGTTTTTTGTAAAAACGACTAACCTGTGTAAAGGTTCGGATACCTTGACTGTTACGCGAGATTCTCTGGTTGTTCTCACAGTCTCGGCACAGTCACACGACTTTCCTCAACCCTGGTGAATCAGGTCCTTGGTCTTGGAGGATTAGCTGAAAGGCTTTCCCAGTTTTACGACGACGACTCATCGAGCTGACGTACATACGACTATAGACTGGCAGAGGTAGAAGAATTTTATGAGTTCGTTAAGGTCGGAGGAGTCGCTTCTTCCACGAAAATGCGAATCGATTTTTCTTTGTGTACGTAATAGGAACAGAGAGGTCCTCCCCTGGGTAACTGTTCTCCTCATGAGCCTTTTCATTCGTGGTCATTCATCGAAGTATTCATGAACGACCCCCAGTCAAAGTGATCATAACCTCAGCGTTGGTCCTAGTTAGGAGGGGCTTTATTGATTACCGTTGTTTTTTCTTTAAGGGAGGTAGTTTGAATTTTTCGTCTTCACCGAACTTTAAGAACAGAGGTCCGTCCCCCTGAAAGAGGTTTTTATCGTGCGGGTTCATTTGTCATGAGTTACATATACATTACGATCATATTGTTTACAGTTTGTCACCTACGTTAAAGTTAATTCTTATTAGCCATTTTAATATAAACATAGTCAGTAGGCGGTTTTCTATCGTCTTTTGGTACGTAATGCGCTCCCGCCTGACTACTGGTCTCCTAATTCGATCGTTTTCATTTTGTGTCATCTCTTGAAGAGTAAATAAAGACCATCGTCAGTGTTTGGATCTTGCGCCTTCAGGTTGTCACAGGTCAAGAATTCTGAACACCATTTTTATAAAACGATAGTTGAGGCAGCGTTTATATCGTTCCTTCAAGCGAAGTGAGCCTCCACGTGTGCAAACCATGCCTCCGCGGCATGCTCCCAAAACTCCGGCAGCTTAACGAAAACATCTCGTTCAGCCATGTTCAATTTTTTTTCGGAAACTATCACGTCGGGGTCACCAGTGTAGTGCCGGTAAGAAGGAGTCGGAGGCGGAGTATTTTAAGGGGTGTTGCTCCATCTGGGCCACTGCCGGTGGTTGAGACGGTGGGGTCTTTGGCGACTAGTTTAGCCCCATGTCCATTACTTAGGTGCTTCAGGAGATTGGCATTGCTGTTTTTCGATGTGGACAATGCTTTCTGTCCTGCACACAGTTTATATTTTACCGTAATATTTTGTGCGTCCTTTATCCCCACAAATTGAAAATAGTGGTTATATCTCCAAGTTGTAAATGCGCTGCTGCTCTCGCTGATACTTGCATCTGCCATAGTGTGTATGCTGGTGGTGGGTGTTGCCGTGTATGTGTGTGTGTTAGCCTTAGCAAGTGTTCGTGTGTGTGTATTTTCCCCATAAGGCAAGACCCGCCCAACTCTGTCTCTGATTGGCTTACCCTGAAATGTTACCCCACGTTAACCAATCATCACTCCTCTCTGGTCACTTTCACTTTTCCATGGTACTGTGAGAGGACATCGCTGTATTCGCCTGTAAATTACATCCGCAGGGAGATTCGGATCAATTCCATCACATAATGTAACGCAGTAACGCACCCATTTAAATCACAGTAACTATAATGGCGTTACTTAATGGGAATAGGTAACTAGTAACGCTATTAGTTACCGCAAAAGTAGTTACTTTGTAACGCGTTAGTCCCAACACTGGTGATGTAACATTAATGACATACATAATATGAGGTCCTTAGCACTGTGTGATCATGGGGCATCACCCTTACAGCATCAGGACAATAACATATGGAGTCAGACACTGGAAGTGTGCTGGAGGCTGATGCGTTGACTGGGACTGATGGAAGGATGAGGCTGATGAGACTGAAGAATCTGTGACAAACTAGCGGCTGAGAAATAATCATATATTAAAAGACAGCAGCATCATAAGAGGCCAACAAGAGTGACAGAGTGTGTCATTGTGCAGTCTACCATCCTCTTAAAATACTCTGTCCAACAATATCAGTCTCATGAAGAAAGGTTTTTATAACGCTTATTCAAAATAGCAGAGAAACATGCATTCTTGTTCTCAGGAGGGGACATTGACAGAGGAGTACTGGAAAAGTACGCAGTAAGTACTTCATAGTACTTGTGGGGGTAGTTTCATAGTACTGAGTCCAACAGTGTCAATCTCACGAAGAACTAATGGCAACAAAAAAGAATTCCCTCATCAAACTTAGCAGTGGCTTAATTTTGTTCTCAGCAGGGGACTTTGAAAGAGTATTTTTCAAAAAATACAGTAAAAGTACTTCAATGTATTGTAAGTAGTAGGCTAACTAATACAAAGTCAAACAGTATCAATTTCATTAAGAACTAATGGTAAAATTATATTTTCATCATTCATCAAATTTTCATCATTCATCAAATATAGCAGAAAAACATGCATTATGTACTAAGGAGGGGACTTTGACAGAGGATTACTCACAAGTACACAGCAAAAGTAGGCTACTTCATTTTATTTCTGGTTGAAGTCAAACTAAAACCGAGTCCAACAGAGTCAGTTTTCTTAAGAACTTGAGGTAAAACATATTTGTATCACTCGTCAAATATAGCAGGAATAAGGAAGAGCAGCTGATTTGAAAAAACAAACTGGTGAGTTGACCGCAGTGCAGAATTGCTGTATAGTTTAAATCTCCTAACAATGTTGTCCATTTTAGACAGAGGCTTATTATATTTACAGCCCTTAATAACATCAATTTTCTGGGCTCAATATGTGTCTTGGCCGTTTCCGTTGTGATCGCTAAATTCCCCCTGTTTATAATAATGACCGTTCCCTCAGCAGGTTACTGTAGTGATTCAAAGTGTGATTTTAGCAAACGAGTGCTTTTGTTTTGAAATCACTTCCATGAGTTTCGCCCCGGCCCTCGCTCCAATGACCATTTAGTAAGGTAAAAAGCAAAAAGCAAAAAGGCATCTCAGACACTCTTCCGTTTACGTGTTTAATAAAGAAAAACAATTGGACGGTAGATACACAGATTTTTACAGCACTGAAAGTATAGCGAGCACTAAGCGCACCAAATGATGTGAGAGAGGAATACAGATATGTGATATACTCAACATGGAAATATAATGCAATATAAAGCAGAGAGAAAAAGGATGAGGAAATATATAGATATTACAACAGTTATGTGATATGAGAGTATATGGTCTTAGATTGTTGATGTCGTAAAGACTCTTTTCCTGGTTTTAAAGGATTCATTACATGACATTTTTCTGAACATACCAAACCATTCAAACTGCTCTATAATTGGCTTCTACCTATGTAGCCATTATCTCCACATTAGTGATGCCTATTACTTGAAAAATAGTTTTTATAAAATATTTTGTGAAAGCACCAACGATCAACCCTACCATATCGTTGCTACATCGAGAAAAAGGGATTTTACCAGAAATATTTTTGAAAGTTTATTTACTTCATATCGCCCAGCCATAGAGAGAAATAACAGCGAAAGAAATAAGATGAGAGGTAAAAGGGACAAACAAACCAAAAAAAGGCTCATTTACTTTTTATTTGTGAGATGAAAAACAAGCAACTGTTGGAAAACAGATCTGCAGACTATTACAGCTCCCTGGAAACTTCTAGAAAACAGTCTCAGCAGACTGATTGGGATTGATCGCTTTCTCTGACTTAATTTAGGATCCATGTAGTTAGTGGCAGAACAAAAAACGAAAAATGCCTCAAACATGCAGGCTTTGCAAGGACTCGAACGATGAGGGGGACAAACGCTTGAGAAATATTCACACTCAGTCACCGTGCATTATAAACACACAGAGACATACAGTAGACTAACCTTCAGGAGGCAGGCGTTAGTCACCACCTGCTTGGAATCTACCATATCCACCAGAGGCTCTTTGATGGCCACGTTGCGAATGCAGCTCATGTCGAACCCGTACACGTTTTCCCACCCTGTGTGTACAAAAACAGTTACTTTGTTTAACTTTAAATCACTTGCAAAGCTATTTTGCCACTTCTTGACAAGCAGTCAGGCAGCCTGACCAATTTGCTGCCCAAGGCAAGATTTTAGCTGGCTATAACAACTTTTACTGTCATATAGTATTTTATACCTGTTTTTCATATTCTCTTATTTTTTTATAGCTATAATGATCATATAAAGGTGTGCCTTTACCTCACTGAGCTGAGGTTATCAGAGCCGCTCAGTCTTTCAGGAGAGAGCTCTCTAAAGCTCTCCCCCCCGCGGCCGCTTACACAGTCAATTCCAATGTTAATAAAAGCACACAGAAGCTTTATACGTTTTTTGGGAGTTTGATTTATTTTAAATGAACACAAATACAAAATTAAAACGTATAATTGCACACTAAAACCATTATTTAAAAAAAAGAAGAATTTCACATAAAGCTCTGGTTTTTACAGGGGCTGGGGCAGTTCAACTTGATTTTGGGGGGGGGAGGTGTGCCATAGTTTATGGGTGCTGTACGTAATATAGGCGTAGTTATGTTAGTATAAGATAATAAGATGTACTATGTTGATCCAAAATCGGGCAATTGCTTTGTTATGAAATAAAAAAATAAAAAATCTCCCCAATTTCCGGCGCCCCCGATGGGTTGATGAGTCGCCCTTAGCATTCGCCTGTACTGCCTATGCCAAGGGCCGGCCCTGCAGTCAGGGCAAAACAAGTAGGAGAGAAAATAAAACAAAGCAGAAAGCAGTCCCAGTAATGTCTGTCTTTCTGTCCGGCCCCTGTGTGGAGGATGACAGGGCCTGAAAATAGACGTCCTCCGCCTCCTCCACCATGTCTGGCAGGCTGTTTTTTATTATAATTTGGGACTGAGAAGGCTCTCCCTCCCCCAGTCCCTCTGTCCCTCCACTCCACCTTGCCTTGTCAGAGGGCCAGTGCTAAATCTGAACAATGAGAAGGTGGAAAATGGCACCGACGCACAGAGAGACTAAAAATAAGAGCGCAAGAGTTTGGGTGGACTGAATTCTTTTGGGATTTATGTGAAAGCATGAATGTGTGTGTAGAAGAAAGGATGCCACCTGTGCAGTCAAAGGAAACTCAGCAGGAGTTTTTATTCCATGCCTAAGTACATGGCACCTTTAATATTGGTGCTTTTATCTGGATCACAATGTTAAGCCCCCACTCCTGCTGTGAGAGATATCAGAACACATGGAGTGAGTTCAGAGCAGAGGTTGTACTGTACTCAAGACACCTGATGGGGTGAATACGGCCAGTATTGCTTCTAAATACGGCAAATCTGTCACCGGGCTTATCATTTTGAAACTACTGGCTTTATTAATGGTTCATAAATTGTTTGTATTGTTTATTTGCAGTTGTATATATAATTTGCTTTGCAAGATTGTGCAAAATGATTGTATATCCTAGCATAACTTGCTTTGTGTCTTCAGCTTACTTAAGTCAACATAGCCAGAAATGTTGACCTCATATTTAAAAGTGCTGAAGACCAAAATCCAATTATCAATATTTTATAAACAGTTCAAACCCAAACCTGATAATTATAAGGTAAACATTGTTATCATTAATACCTGGTCGAGCATATTGATCAATCTATGAGCTTTCCTCACAGTCTGCAGCCCAATTTTTCACCAATCTTTTAGATACAGCTTTAAGTGCCTTATGAGAAAATTGATATCTAACTTGAGTTTGTTTTGATTTCACTCGCACAGCGGTCATTAATAATGCACCGCAGCGCTGAGTGTGAGACGGAGGGGGAAACAACTTGAGAGCAAATCTTCCATAATTACTCACAATGAATCTTGAAGTCCTTGTACTGCCGGTCTTCGATGGCCACCACGTAGAGAGTCGCCCTGTCGGGAAACATCAGACCTCCGGGTTTCTGAACGAGAGAAAACTCAAGGTATTACCACACACACACACACACACACACACACACACACACACACACACACACACACACACACACACACACACACACACACACACACACACACACACACACACACACACACACACACACACACACAAAGAAAGAAAGGCCATTAATCGCCTCTATGGTTCACACACCTGGCATGTACTGTAAGATCTGGTGTCGAGTTTAAAGCCTGAGGTTAGAACCACATCAGTCATGTGCGACCTCAACATCTGGGCAGTAAATCCTCTACTTCATCTCTGCTGTGTTTATGAGTCAAAGGCCTTTCATATCTCCAGACAGCTAAAGACACTTCTTTTTAGATTAGCTTTTTATTAGCGACATAAATGGTCTTTTAATTTTCATTATTTTTGTATTGTTTTATTTTCTTTATAGCTTTTTACTTTTTGTATTTATTTTACATTTTTCTGAGCGACCTTTAGTATTCTTACTATTTATTTTTGTTGTTATTATTGTTACTTTGTTTTATTTGTTATTTTATAGGTTTTTATATTTTATCGTATTTTTTGGTTTTGTCTTCATTTATTTTACCCTATTTGTTATATATACAGTCTATGATTTTACCATATTTATTTGTGTTTTTTAAATGTATTATCATACCTTTTGCCTCCTGTGTCTGTTAAACTCTTAAACTGTTATATCATACCGCTATGGGGCATATGTGCTAAAAGGTTTCAACGTCTGGCCTGATGTGAAATTCTTGTTCTGTTTCATTTGTGATGTGTGCCATGTTCTTAAAGCACTTTGAGCTGCACCTGCTATATGAAAAGTGCTGTACAAATAAAGCTTTATTATTATTATTCAACCCAGCAGCATCATACCAGCCACTTGTCCCTGGCGAAGATGACTGTGTTGAGCATGGACTCATAGAAGAGACAGTAGCCCATCCACTCGGAGATGATGATGTCCACCTTCTCCACCGGCAGCTCCACCTCCTCCACCTTTCCCTTGAAGATGGTAATGACTGCCGAGTAGAGAGACACAGAAACAGCAGGCAACAAACAAATGACTTCAGCGCATCTCTATAACATTAATGCAAAGAGATCGATTTTTAAAAGAAGAACATGGCCGGCGGTCCTGCCTGACTCTCATCATACTGTATAGTGTCCTTACTGTAAGGTAATTATTATATGTACAGCACTTTGGCTCGACCAAAAATCATTTTAAAAATGTGCTATATAAATATAACTTGATTTGATTTGATACTACTTCCCTGATGGCTCCCAGGATTGTTGACATCCTCTTGGATTGATCTTATTATTATAGACACATGCATTTCCAAACATTTGGTCTACCTATGTAAAATGTATTATCTTTTTGATTTACACACGGCATCTATTGCACGTCTGTCCGTCCTGGGAGAGGGATCCCTCCTCTGTTGCTCTCCCTGAGGTTTCTCCCATGTTCCCCTTTAAACCGGGGGTTTCTTTGGAAGTGTTTCCTGGTACGATGTGAGGGTCTCAGGACAGAGGGTCCTGTTGTGAACCCGGAAATGTGGAGTACCCCAAAGTTTTATGTTAGATATGTATTGTAGGGGTCCTCAGCACATAGATATTGCCGGATGCTAACTTGCATATGTTGGGCAATTTGCACAATTAGCATGAGTTGCATTGATTAGCATATTAGGACAAAAGCTAAAGAATGGCTTGGCAGATTCGGACAATTACAGAGTGGTTTTCTAGGTTATTGAGGATTTTTTATGAGTTTTGACATTTTCAGGACAAGAAATGGCAGTTTAAGCCAGAGGCGGCCATATTTGTAGTCCTGTTGGGCTGATTACGATGGATTTTTTTGTTGATCTTAAAGTTTTAGGGGACTCAAAATGGCAGAAATCAATTCAACATCCTCAATACGTCTCCAATACCACACCAACATTTTCCATTTTCCAAATCGGCCAAGCCATTTTTTTTATAGCTATTGTCAGCCATATTCTAATTGACGCAACTTAGGCCAACTGTGAAAATTGCCCAACAACCTGTCCTATAGATTTGTATCATAACACTTATGCGTTTTCAACATCTCCAGGTTCAAACTGCTGGCAAGTAAACTAATTACAGTATATAGTTAATACTGATGATGAGGTTTTAATTCTTTAGAACAGGAAAGATGAATCAAAAAGAAAAGCCTGATGAAATGAAGCCCACTAGATTGGGTTGCCACTCTGTGAAGTTGAGTGTGGTCTTTTACAATGGTAATCAGCACCAGTAAGGGACTTCTGACAGAGGCCAGTTAACCATCAGACCTGTGTCCAAAAGTGTTGAGTGTGGCGGTCACGATGGAAATATGCAGATTTTTCACAGCGCTTCTGATCCAGAATTCATCATACTGCTCTGCATTTAGGCAAATGGAGATAGGAGACATAACAGCAAGGGAAAACCTCTTTGACTTACCATTGTGTAGGTGATTGGACTTTATGATCTTCTCTGAATATTCTGATATGCTTGAGCATTCAATCTGTAGGCACAAGGACACAAGAAAGTGATGAATGTTCGCTGCAATATCTACATTTTCTAGTCAAAGAAATAACACATTTATGTTAATAATTCATGAGAAATATGTTAGTTGGGAAAAAGGGTGTAAACTACCATATTTCCGCCCCATGTCCTATATACTGTGGGGTAACCTTTGGGGTAATATCAGAAGGGCAAATGTAATCAAACCATGCTGATCCGTCCTCACACTAATGTCCCTGATCGCTCATCTCAGACCCTGTGCAGCATGAAAACAAATACATCATTCTTCTCTCCCATCCATAAGTTTAATACAGTATATGAATCATACATAAGTGTCAGAGACTCTGCCGGCAATGTGTAACCTGTGATTTACAGCCAGATGTCTCTCCTTGCCTCTGTGCCTAAGATTGTTTGAAACAGATTCACAGTCTCTCAGAGGAGCACTAGAAACTGGCCCTTAGAAATAAATGTCTTACTGTTTCATATGCAAAAAAGAAAGGATATGGATGAGAGATACTGTGACAGTCGGCTATTATTTTCGACACTAAAAGGGTCTCTCTCATAAAGCCTGAGTAGTACGGTTGGAGGATTCTAAATGAAGAATATAAACTGTGGAGTCTGTGGTCAAACTGTGTATCTGTCTCACCCCGTAGACGTGTTTGGCGCCGGCGTTAGCGGCAAACATGCAGAGGATCCCCGTTCCGCTACCCACATCCAGGACAATTTTATCTTTGAACACATGCTTGTTGTGGTACATGGCGTTCCTGTAGGTCAGTGTCCGCACCTCGTCCTTCAGCATCTCCTGTTTAGATTAGAGGTCAAATGAAGAGCCATGATACACAAGGACATGCAGTCTTTAAAGGTCTCCTATTAAGCTATTTTTAGGAATATATTAAATATCTCAGATATATAAAAAAAATATAAGAAACATGTCTATGAAGTGTTCATCTTAGCCATGCCTCATACCCCTCTATTTCAGCCCTGTTAGAGAAGTGCTGATTTTGGGTCCTTAGCTTTAAAAAAAAAAAAAAAAAATGAAGGGGGGAGCTTATGCTGAGTATCTGATCAGGAGAATTCTACCCAGACACAGCTAAATGCTGCTGTGATTAAACGCCATATCATGTTCAAGGATTATTTCTGAAACAGTATGGAGCTCAAAGGTTTTTTGTCTTGCGGGTTTAACACAAGGTGAGTACCTTTTTTATTTCCTGCTTTTTTACAAATACTCTCTCCAGTACAGTGTTAGCGATGCTTGCTAATGTAAACAAAGACCATAACACTTCCAAAACGTTGTGCATTGTTTCTGATAGCAACGTTTCTGATAGGGCCGTGGGCGTAAAGTCAGCCCACATTTCAGATATCACGTCATGTCGGACGCAAATCTGGATCAGCTCCGTTTTCAGAGATTTGGGTACGGAGGAAAAGAGAGAGGGTTTTGTTTTCTGACACTTTGCGAGTTCCCTGACACACCGGGGACACATATGTATAAAAGACATACAAAAGTGCATTTTCCATGATAGGAGACCTTTAATAACAAGCAAAGCACTATCCTTCTATATGGAACTGGTATAGACTGCCTAAAGAATAGTGTGACTCATAAATGCTCAAAGGTATACAAAGAACATAATGAGCTAGAGTGTAATGCATATTTTCCTCATGTGAATAGCTGTTATTATTACATGTATAAAGAGATAGATGAGGCAGTATTTAGGCCAAGAGCCTGTGTGACAGTGGCAGTGGTTCTTGAAATAGACAGGAGTACAACACAAAGCGTTTGGGGACGGCTGATATCCATATCCCTGAACCCATTCACACATCCCACTTTCCGGGCTCGGCACTGCTCTAATCAGGACATTCTCTTTGTGTGCAAGGCGACAAAAAGCTGACCCACATGCTAATTTTAAACAGGTTTATACGTCCCCAAACTTTTCCACCACCACTCCTTTCACAAATGAAGGTCGTTATCTTCGGTATAGCTTTCCAAATATACAGCGATTCACTGGCTGTAAGTCGGACACAGCTTATTTTCATTTCTGGAATACTTCACATGGACTATCATCTTGCTTCTGGTTTATTTAATGTGAGTTGGTGGTGGAAAAGCCTTGTCTTTTGTCAGACTGTGACACACTCTCCTCACAAAATTGTAGGTGGACAGCTCCGTTTGAGGTTCATGTTCGAGTTTTTGTCTTATTTAGGGGAATCATTAAGTTACATATGTGTATTTTCTACTGGATGTGCTCTAAGCTGCTTCATATGTTAACTTCTGAGATATGTCATATTCACAAAAGTGTTTGGTTTAAGTAATACTACTGCCTATCTGTCAATGGGATTAAACCAGCCGTGGTGTTTGACATATCCTGCCGACAGAAAGCCAGACTAATGGGGTTGAAATTCCTTGGCGAGTTCAGGTTAGACATTTGGTGTCAGTATTTTCCCCTGCTCATACATACCAAGCTGCCGTCTGTCAGCCTACCTCATGGATGCCAAAGTGGGCATAGGAGTCGAAGTAGTAGTCCCGTGATGTCATTTCCTCCGGGCTCAGGAACTTGGCAATCTTGCCTCGACCAGGACAAGTAGCCAGGGCTGCTACATGAGGCGCGGGGGGGCCGCAGGGCACATGGTGGGCAGTAGACACTGGTTTAGGCAGTGGGGAGGGCTGGGCAGATTGAGAGTGGGGGGACGCGACTGGCTGTTGCCTCTGTTAAGGAAGAGAAAGGAAAGAAAATAGTTTGTATTAGGATTTAGAAACTACAGTATGGGCTAATATGGGTTAATACATTACAAGTAAAAGGGGATTCTTATAATAAGCAGTCTAGGATTCACATTCAAATAGGAGACTCTAATAGGACCGGTAAAAGATGCAGGCAGGCACGTGCTCAGATAGACATTGGATAGCACCTGCCCTTTGCCCTGCTATTTGAGAAGTGCCCTTTTTCAAATGTCATTTATAATGTTTGTGCAGGTTACCAGTTCACAAAGGGTTGGAGTTCCTAAGCCTTATAAAGGTTGGATAACTTTATTTCACTTAAGAGAGTATAAAATCGTTGCATAGAGGGTTTAATTGCAGTGTTATGAAGCTGAATCAACTGACCTATTTTAACTCTGATCAAAATGTGTTTTGTTATGTATTTAATATCAGGTGTAGTGAATCAGATTTAAAATGAAAAGACGTACAGTACAATTGTGCCAAGTTACACTGTATGTATTGTGTTTGCTTGCCTTTTATGTCAAAATGATCTGAAATAAATTAAACAGTTCTCATAATTATGACTTTTTATCTCATAATTTCGACTTTTTTATCTCATTATTACGACTTTTTATCTCATAATTATGACTTTTCATGGGGATTTTATTTTTTTCAAGTGGCGGAAATGGGCTTCCATACAAACATTGTAATTCCAGCCATATTTTTTATTAAATTAGTAATAAAAATCGCCGGTGTGTCCTTTAATGCATTTGAGCCCCTTCCTCTCTAACATCCGCTGCACGTGCCTGGATGCAGGTACCGTTTCAGCACCAAGGACAGTTACTCAATGCATCCAACAATGGTCATGTATGCAAAGCCTCTGCGTGCATTATCACTACTATTGCAATCAGAGTGGTCTACTTAAACCTCCCCGCCCCAACATCTGCAGGACCGTGCACTTTGCTTTGCACGCACGTGATGGTGCAACATTGATTCTAAGCGTGGATACGACAATGATAGGCTAGGAAAAACACAAGGTGCATACATAACATATCAAATATATCGCTCCCTAATCAAACAAGTATAGTGAGTGTCCCGGTCCCGCTATAGCCGGGAGCAGGACTGCACGAGCTCCCTACCTCCGAGCTGTCCGCCTCCGCCATCTTCCGCCGCAGCAGCAAACACCGCGACGAGTGCCTCAGTCCCATGAGAGCCGACGAGATTTCAGGCTACAACTCTTTAAATGTACGGAGAATGTAACAATCTTAATAGAAATGTGTCACAAATAACACTAAACAGCCAGATGTGTGTATGCAAAACGCGTAAAGATGAAAGTCATAAAGGAATCAGTTTCCACCGAATTAAATCCATTCCTCGAGAAAAGTTGGTTAATTGATTTGTGAAACGTACCGTAATCCATACTGTAAATGTGATACAGGCTGTTTTAGTGGCAGATTCATGTATTGGGCTAAAAGGTTACGGGTTCCATTCCAGCAGGTGTCCATCAACATCCAGGCGCCCCGTGTCCATGTGCAAGCAATGAGCACCAAAAAGAGCTAATAAAACTCCACACCAGAGAGCGCGTCTTCTACTCTACTTCTCTCGGAATCCCTTCACATCTCTCAGCTTTGTGACAGGCACACAGACATTCTTATCTTCGTGTGGAAAGTCCTGGCTGCGCGTAATCCCGAGGGCTTTCCCGGAGAGAAAGTTAAAATGGGTTCAAACTGTGCGCTTGTGCACTGCCGGCCGGGACACACATCACACTCCTCGACTGACAGGAAAGTAATCGTGACAAAAATATATAACAGTAACAAACCAAGAAAAAGGTGGGTAAATCTCTGCTTCCCAACCACAGATGCGCCCTCATNGTATTAACACACCAGTTAATATTCTTTAAAGAATAAAATCTACACCGTCGCTTTTTCCTTTCGGATTAACGACAAGGTTGGACTTTTTTCTCAGTAACGTACCTACGTTACTGAGAAAAAAGTCCAACCTTGTCGTTAATCCGAAAGGAAAAAGCGACGGTGTAGATTTTATTCTTTAAAGAATATTAACTGGTGTGTTAATACCTTTTGTTTTTATCTCCGTCTCCTCTGGTGTGAGAGAGAAAAGACGTCCTCGCTACCGTGGTGTCGGTGTGGAGGAAAGAAAATCTAGCAACAGGTATGTTACTTGAAGAAAAAATCAAACCTTACCATAATTTCGAAAGAAAGAAACGGCGAGGCAGATTACAATATTAACTGGTGTGTTAATATTGTTCAGTCTTCTTGCAAAGCAAAAAAAAAAAACCGGCAAGCGCCCGTCGACCGAATGTTAGCTTTGGGTTCAGTCTGTGGACTGTTAAACTAGCCCGGCTACTGATAATTCGAGATGTGCTCTGAAGCGAGAAAAGGTGTTTGAATTACGCTGCGTCGTAGCGCAAGCTACTTATAGGGTGGGTGGATTCCCTGACGTAGACGTCAAGATCACCAGCCAATCAGGATTGGCGTAATGAGATTGATGCTTCTGATCTGCTGTAAAATATCCCACAAATGTAATGGCTATAATGTGACACTGAACGGTTTTAAAACCAGATGAAAATGACTATTAAGATTTGCTAGAGTACTTTTTCAGATGTTATTTACTGTATACAATATTGTTATTCAATATAGTTTGATCCACAATAATGTGCAGAGGGGTTAAGAGCATGCTTGGTTCTGTTCCTGCTTTAATATGTTTTCCTTTTTATAATAATAATTTAGAAGGAAGTGAGGCCAACTATTCTGAAATCATTCAAATCTAAAGGGCAGCGGCTTTTAATTTTTGGTTTTACTAAAACCTTTTCGCACAAAGCAAATGTTAAAGACTCTATGATAAACAAAATATTACAAGTCGCAGCCGATAAGCACAACACTCAATTTTCAAAAAACAGTGGTAGAAATCAGAAAATAACAAAACAGCATACTACATGCATTGCAGACAAGGCTTTACAAATTCACAGATGATAATAACATCTGTTGACCAACTGAGGGGAAAATTATGAAACTATATGCATAATATGCAACTTCTACTGTTGCTGCCGCGAGTCAAAAAGGTCACAATGTGTACTTGTTGAAGTGTGCAGCTTTAAATGTTTATTGGTGCACTCTAAAGGCTAAATTGAAAATCGCAATTATATTTGATTAAAAATGAGATCGCAGTTATTGTTATATAATGAAATTGCTTTATTTTTAAATTTAGTAGGATGATACTAGTTACAAGTGCAAACAAAACAACTAGGTACAAGCAATAAACGAAGACTTTCAATTAGACTTATTATTATTATAGCCATTATTTTATTATATAATGATACTTTTTCTTCATTCATCGTTCCCATTCCTGCTTGTACCAAATTCTGTAAAGAATAAAGAAACAGTTAGTTGGTAATGATTCATGCTGCCATATATACGGTATATACACAGCATATAAAGTTGGGTAGATTGAGTTGTTTCATCTTGTTGTTTTAAGATTAACCTCTTTAGGGTAGGCTTTATATTTTCATGAAGGTATTAAAGGTAAATGAGTCATCGGTGCCTGCTTATATTTTATTTATGCTGTTATGGTAGAGAAGATTTTAATTTTGGAATCAGCTGAAGCAACAAATAAGATGAGCTTGAAGCCTTTCCTGTTGATGCCACACCACATTACCCCTACTCTGGTGGTGGATTATCCAAAACGTTGTTGTGGACCATGAAAGCAACTCAATCTTGTTATCGCTTATACTCTAACATCTACTTAACAAAAGACTTCCCAAAGCCTTTGCCATGGTTCGATCTTAATAGTCTTAGCGGCATTAGACTGAGAACAGCCACAAAAGTAAGATCACTTGTCCCGCCCCCACAATTAAAAAAAGATTTGGGGCAATGCTCCAAATCCACTGCATGTTTACACATGCTCTACTAAACAAGGTAATATTGACAGTTTTTTCTTGAAAGATGTCCCTATATTTGATACTATGTGTAGTTAAGAATGCATTCTACTCTTGGTTTAATAATCATCATATTTTAGTTCAAACCAACATGACAAACACCAACAAAGAATAGCTTTTTCCATCACCAGGAAAATCAATTAGTGACCAAAACCAATGGACATACTAGACCTTTTGGATGAGAGTGCTTCAAAAGGTGCTTCCAATCCTCTCAAACATTGCACACATGGAACATTGTAGTACTGCAGTATATCGGATCAGTTTGGTATTTTTAAAACTGTGTTGCACATCCAGGAAACAAGCACGGAGTGCAACATGTCAAAGAAAAAATTGGCGCCTCAATTACAGCTGACTCAAAGCAGAACACTGCATATAGAATGAGGTCCCAATATTGCCATTTCTTGCACTTTCAGCATGTAAGCAATGCTTAACTTGAATGACAAACAAGATATTCATGTATGGTTCAATGTATTTTTATTGAAAAAACATGGTTGCTTGGTGTATTGTTTGGGGAAAATGGTATGGAGGTATTTTACTATTATAATGTGTGCGAGCTGTGTGTTTTTCTCAAAATACCAAACAAATCACCCATTCTAGCCATGCCTCATACCGATTTCACAGTTACCATAATCGTAATCGAACATAATCATTAATAATCATTGAAAAACATTTCCAAAGATTGTGACCCCCCCCCGCATTTCGCTCACAATGGTTTGATCAACTGCCTCCCACCCACAGCAGTCCTGATGCAGGTAGGCTGAGTGTAAATCACCGCGACCAGTCTGTCATTGGTGGCAGACCTTTTCAGTAAGTTGTTCAAACAAAGAATATGTTAGACATGTCTTTACTTCTACCACTCAATACAATAGAACACATTTATAATCATCACCTTCTCTTCATTTTCGCTGCATTGAATTACAGGTCACTCTTTATGTTAGCTAGCGGTTAGCTGACGTTTGCTAGCTAGCTAGTAACATCAACCAGTGTGTGTGTTTGACTAGCTAGCTACCTGGTAGATCGAAGCCCATTAGAGTTTGAGTTTATTAGGATCCCCATTAGCTGTTGCATGACAACAACTAGTCTTCCTGGGGTCCACACAAAACATAAAACATTACATTCGACAAGACTTTTACAGAACAGTAAATAAAAAATAAAAAACTGATTTCCGAAGTCCATTTTCCTTCAAGCATTGACTTTCATATTTTCCATCATATACCACTTATTTTCTGATTTCATTTCATTGGAAAGAAAATAATGATAATAAAATAAGAATAAAGTACTTATATCTATCTGCATTTACAGATGCCAGCCTTCAATTCTCTTAAGGTACAACTACCTGAAATGAAAATAAAAGAAGAATGAATTATAGAATGATAGAAGATAATATGATAGAAGCCCATCTCCTACTGTAACTAACCTGCACACTGTGTGTGTGTGTGTGTGTGTGTGTGTGTGTGTGTGTGTGTGTGTGTGTGTGTGTGTGTGTGTGTGTGTGTGTGTGTGTGTGTAGCCAGCCAACCAACCAGGTAGAACATGGCAGAAAAAAGAAAAAATCATGTATTCAACCCAGTTCAGTGTATTCATACGTGTATTGCTCTCCTGTGTAGAATGATGTGGTGGTGACAGTGCAGACTCAGGGAGGAGGCAGAGAAGGAGAGAAAGAGACACAATAGTTACAGGTAATGGAAATATCAGTCAGCTTAAAGTGTAGGATAACATAACAAATTAAGACACAAATACTTGGATAATATATTCCCCCCTCTCTCCCTTTCTTTACAGAGTAGCATAAAGATTGTGTATTCAAACCAATTCAGTGTACTCATAAGTGTATTGCTCTCCTTAATGTAGAATGATGTGGTGACTGTGCAGACTCAGGGAGGAGGCAGAGGAATTGAGAAAGAGACCCAAGAGTTACAGGTAATGGGATATCAGACAGCTTAAAGTGTAGGATAACATCCCTAGTCAAAAAATGCTATAGGAATCTCTATACATTTTTGGAACCCTATAGGAATCCTTTAGGATCCCATAGGATTTTGAGACAGTTCTGTGCTCTATATTGCAGGAAATTGCACGTACAGGTGTTCATTAAATTAAAACAATTCTGCCATGGAGGTGGTCGTGCCTGACCCACTCCAAACCACCCCTTGCCTGCCAGTTACTAATCTTGCACCCCCACTTTCAACTATAACTAGGCGGCACAGCAGTGCACCAGCAGCTTGCAGCTTGAACAGACTGACAGGAAAATGTCCTCTACAGCTCATGAATCAGGAGCTCAGAAACGAAAGAAAAAACGTCAGCAAGAGGAAAATAATAAAAGAGGTCGACAGCTAGTCACCAAGTATTTTCACAAGAAAGGTATTTATTCACAGAACTTGTTTTTAAGCCCATAACATCTTAGCCAACATTTTGTGGCTGACGTTAGCTACCTGTTGCTATCAAAAATTAGATGAGTGTAGATGAGCCCAGTGAATTTGTATCCAGCAGCTATGCCCTTTTGCTATGGCTAGCTAACCTAACCTGTATAATGTTACATGCTAATCACATCTGCTCTAATGCACAGATGCGGCTTCAGGATCAGTACCCCTTCCCTCAGGCCGGTTCCCAGTTGAAGGAGAGGGAGGTAAAGCAGCAGGGCTTGGGGTTAACAAACAGATTTTAAATATGCTTACCATGCATTGAATACAACTTTAGGTAATATTCACATTTAGTT